GTCCTCAGTTATGCTTAATACAAGATAGGCAATTTAGAATTCCCAATTATCCAATTAAAATGCTAATTATCTCATACCTTGATAAGGGCGCTCTTAGGGGGAGAGAGAGGGTGAGCCACTTCCCTCCGGCTCCCTGCCTCCCCACCTCCCCGCCATGCACGCAGCAGTCTTTGCTGCTGCCCTTGTCCACAGTGGCTAGGGCCTCCGCTTCTGGGGTCTCCAGGTCCAGACCCCCTGTTCCTGCTTTCCACCAGCCGGCCACCTTCTCCTGGCCTGGGTGGAATTGTTAATTTTTTGCTGGCTTCTCTCAGCTCAGCTGGGCCTCCTGGGTTGGGGAGGGTTTAACCTTGGCCTTGTTCGTCCCCAGTATTGATGTAGCTCGCAGCCTCTCCCTGCCTGGGCCTCCTTGGTTCCCACAGCGACCCCTAAGCAGCTCAGCCTTCGCCTACATGAGCCTCCTTGGTTCCCGCAGCAACTCCCAAGCAGGTATACTTCCAGCCTCCTGGGACTCTCAGAGCTAAGGCTCAGGTGGTGTCCAATTCCAGATCCTAAGCTGGCAATCAAGAACCCCTCATGGACCCCCCCACCATGCCCCCACCATCGCCACAGGTCTCCCCGCTTCCCCGAATATCACACTTCTGCTCTGAGCTGCCATTCACTTGCTTGCCTCTGAAGCAGGACAGAAAGCTGCTGGTCTCTTGCAGCACTGTTATGTACAGGTGGCAGGCCAGGGGCCTCAGGAGGGGCTGGCCACATAAAGGCAGTGGGCTGCAGTGGCCTGGCCTGGCCTTCGGGAGGGGCTGCTGAGAAGTCTCACTGCCCCTGTTGAAGCAGTCTTGGGGTGAGGGTCAGGAACAAGGATGAGAATGGTGGAAGGAGGGAGGGAGGAAGCCATGAACGCTGCAGGCCGGGATGCCTCCCCTGCGGCTGCGGCCAAGCGCCTGTGTCCTCGGGGCTGCTGCACCTGGCAGGCTGTGCCATGCCGCTGAGCAGCCTGCCCCCTCACACCAGTCCTACCCAGCACATGTCTCTTTAGTTCGAGCCATTCAGTGTAGGTGACCACTGTGGGACTGCTCCTGCCCCATTGTCCTCGGTGGTGGTTTGGCCAGCTTTGTCTGGGGCTGTCTTCACCCTGATCTCTGGAGGCAGGGGGCACCCAGGGCACAGGTGAGCACCACAGCATGGGCCAGTAGGAGTTGGCTCCCTCTGGGAGTTGGCCAGACCCCTACACAGTTTGCTGGATTCACCTGGGCAGCTACTACAAGAGTGGATGGAAGGCCCAGTGCGATGGCCTAGCGACTAATGTCCTAGAGTTGAACCCACCGGGATCCCATATGGGCGCTGGTTTTAATCCCATCCGCTTCCCATCCAGTTCCCTGCTTGTGGCTTGGGAAAGCAGTTGAGGATGGCCCAAGGCTTTGGGACCCTGCACCCACATGGGAGACCTGGAAGAGGCTTCTGGCTTCAGATTGGCTCAGCTCCAGCCGTTGGGGCCGCTTGGGGAGTGAATCATCAGATGGAAGATCTTCCTCTTTGTCTCTCCTCCTCCTCTCTGTATATCTGACTTTCCAATGAGATTTATTTATTTAAAAGTCAGAGTTCACATACAGAAAGAGGGATATACATATATATATATATAGAGAGAGAGAGATCTTCCATCTGTTGGTTCACTCCCCAAATGGCCAAAGCTGCTGGAGCTAGGTGGGTATGAAGCCTGGAGCCAGAAGCTTCTTCCAGGCCTCCATGGGGGCACAAGGGCCCAAGCACCTGAGCCAGCCTCTACTGCTTTTCCAAGGACATCAGCAAGGATCTGGATGGAAAGTGGAGCAGCCAAGACCCAAATCTGCACCTATACTGGCACCACAGGTAGCGGCTTTACCCGCTATGCCATGGTGCCATCACCCCTGTCCCTTCTTCTGTTTCTACCCCCAGTACACCCCTGAGCAGGTGAGACCCCAGGACTGGCTTCTAAGAGGGCAGAGCAGCCACATGGAGGGATGGTGGGGGATGTACAAACAGGAAGTATGTGTGTCCCGGGAGCTGGAGTGGGGGCCCTGCGTGTGCACCCTCCCCACAAACCACCTGGAAATGCTGCTTGCACGCCAGCCTGTGTGGGTAAGGGAGGGTGTGGACTCCCACGGGGCACCCTGGCTGCTGGAATGGGCCCGGGAGCTCTGTGTCCTCTTTGGTTTTAAAGGAGTAGCCCAAAGCCCTCGACTTCCTGCCCTGCCTGAGGTCCCCATCCTGTGGTTCCCTACGGGACCTCTAATGATGACGTCTGTGGCAAGTACCCACTGACCACGGTGTCCCTGGGTGCCAGGCACTGCTGTGTGAGCTGCACACATTTCACTGGCACAGCAGTCCCAGGGCAGAGAAACCCTTAAAATCCCCACTTGACAGGTAGGGCAGACAAGGCCCAGGGAGGCTAGGGAACTGGTCAGCGAGCAGAGATTTGGCTTTAGAGTCTGTATCAAGTGGAGTCCCACAAGGCTAGACAGGTGGGGTCAGAGAGAACTACAGGACAGGGAGTGTACACGTACACACACACGCGCGCGCGCGTGCCACATGTCCCCCTACCCCAGCCCTCCAAGATGAGCTCACAGCCCAAAATGACAAGACCTAAGCCAGTGGTCCACGGGAGCTGGCAGACAATGCCAGCAGGGCCTGCCCTAGCTAAGGGTGTGGCTGCCCAGCTTGGCTTTTTGTTGGCTCCTGCCGAGAGCTGCAGGCATCGTCACATCTATGGACAAATGTTTTGTTCTCTTCCTGGCCTGAGGGTTGCCGTTCACACAGGTCGTGCGCATTTGAACCCGAGATGTGATGGACAGACCTGTGTGCTATGGACGCCAAGGGACTATACTTGGCCTTCACCTGGAGCCTGTGTATGCTTCCCTCCTGCCTGCCTGCTCTGTTACCCGCCACCCAAGTCCACCCTCTCACTGCAGGTGCCTTGCCTCCCGGGTTCCTGGTTTACGTGGGGATGGGATCTCACTTCCAGGTCCCTAAGACCACGTGGCCCCTTGTCCTTTCTGACCCCTTACTCCCCATCTGTGTTCAGCTCTGCTTCCCATGTGCTGTGCACGCCCCGTGAGTGTCAGAGGCGAGATGGCTTCCGGCTGACCGCTCAGCCTTATGGCTCACAAGGTGCTGACTGTTGGCCTGCAGCCACAATTGGCTGGATACTTGGCTCGCCCCTCAGTTGCTGTGTCTTCCATACAGAGGCATCTGTGTGCATTGTCCTGCCATGATCATGTGGTGTTTGAACCATCAGTGGAAAGGCCAGCTGGGCCTACCCTGTCTCCGCTCTCCCTAGCCGCACCTGCTAAGCTCAGAGCCAACTGTGCGTGGCCTGCAGCTCAGACATGTGGCCCCAGGTGGGGACACCCACAGCTGAATCCTCTAACCCTTCAGGATCAGACACATGTCAGACTCCCAGAATCACCACCTCGCCCCCATAACGTACACATTTTTTGTGCAGTCACAGACCAGGCACGAAGTCTACAGAAAAGTGAGGGCCTGTTGTGTCCAGGTGCTGTTGCCACCATGTCCCCAGGGACCAGCCACAGACAGGCGCTGACATTCAGGGCAAGGACCGTTGGAGATTGTGTTTCTGCTTCTGGCGTTTCTCCTCCTCTTTCCAGTTCCTGTCTTGCATGCCCACGACTGTCCAGGGTGGGAGCCAAAGCAGCCAGCGTGGGCTGGGTGAAAACTGGGGCCACCTTCCCTTCCTGAGCGTCTCCCCTAAGCTGTGCCTTTTGCTTAAAAGGATTGCTTTCTCTACCTCTTGGGACTGATGCAGAAACTGACTCCAGCTCCTGGATGCTGAGCTTGGGAATAGCTGAGGAGGGGCCTGTCCCATCCTCTCTCCTTGGTGAGGTTCCCAAAGCCCTCGCCCCTTCTCCCCCAGAGATCTGCAGAGCCACCCATGCATCACAGTCACTTAATGCCCCAGTTGGGACAATCCTGTGGCATTTGTGTTTAAGCTCCTTTATGCTGCATTCTCTGCCAAAAGGCCTATACCCCGGCTGCACCTGTGCCAGGTGGGCAGGGTGGGGGCCTCCTCAGCCTGCCTCTCACCATTTCTCCACGCCCAAAGGTCAGGCAGCTACAGCTCAGACTTTGCAAAGGAAGTGGGGCCAGCTCCCCACAGTGCCCCTTCTACTGCTGGTTTCTGCTGATGCCAGGTGCTTGCTATGCCTGAAAGACCAGGTGGTACTGGGGCAGCCCAGAGGCTCAAGGCAGATGGGAGGAAGAGGACTCTGAAGTCCTGGGGCATATGGAAGGGGAGCAGGGTGAAGACAAGATCCGACTCAATGCAGTGTCCACACGTCCATCTCCAGGATCTGCTCCAGGTTGACCTATTGCTGCCCCTGGGAACAGCCAGGGCACCTGTTCCCACTGCCAGTCCTTGCAGTGGCTGAGTCAAGGGCAGGGCTGGCAGGCTTCTGCAGAAGTCTGCTCTCCTGGAGGCCTCTCTGGCCTCAGTCCATGAGCTCCGCCTCTGTCCTTCCCCTCCAGGCAGGGCTGCTAGTCACACTGCTCAGGGTGGGAGTGTGTCAGAGGACCTACACAGTTTGCTGCTTGTCCCAGTGGAGACTATCCCGCTCTGCCAAGGGACCCTGCATCTGTAGTGGCCCACCCCTTGCCCCTGTACACCCAGCATTCTCACTGTCCCTTCCCTGGGGCCCTCACAGGACAGTGCTGGGGCCAGAGAGACCCTGTGGCTGTGCGGCCAGCCCCTCCTGGAAGGGTGGACAATACCCCTGGACACAGAGTCATGGAGAGACTCCCAGGCTGGGGCTCCTGCAGGCATCATGCGAAGTAGGGGGCCTCCTCCCCTCCTGCCTCCATCAGCAGGTGCTCTGCAGTCCTGTGGCCGGCCTGGACTCCAGGGCAGCTTGGGCCTTAGACTGAGAGTTTGCACAGAGTGGTCAGGGCTAGGTGGGTGGGCCTCCGCTCCCTGCAGTGACTCTGTCCCCTGACCAATACTTTCTCTGCAGCCTCTTCGAGCACTACTGCTATTCCCGAGGTGGCATGCGTCACAGCTCCTACACCTGCATCTGTGGCAGGTAAGTGCATCCTGGCCGTCCTCAGGCCGGTACAGGAGGCTCCACCTTCCTCCCCAGCCAGGACATGTCCACAATGGTGCCCAGCAGCCCAAGCTCCCATGTCACGCTGCCCCCCTATCACCAGCACCACCAAGGCTCTGGCTCCAGGCCTGTCTCGCCCTCTACAAAGACACACACACAGTGCATGAGGCCTAAGCTGTGTCTTCAGGGAAGGACATGGAGAGGGCTGTGTGGGTGCTGGGGATGGGGCCAGTGGTCCGTGGGTCTGTGTGGGTGGGCATGTGTGTGCATGAGTGCGTGTGGAGCTGGGCTGTGCAGGAGATCTGCAGATGACCCACTGTGGCTGGGGAGGGGGCTGCTGCAGGTGAGCTGAGTGTGGCTAGGAATTCTCGGAGGACACACATGGCAGAAGCTTCCACACTGATGTGGGCTGTGGGGTGCACCCAGCCACAGGGCCATGTGTGTCACTGCCGGTGTCCATGGCAGGGCACTTCCTGCTGCAGGCGGACCCCTTCATCTCTGGGCTCCCCCCATGTACTGCCTGGGCCCTAGGCCGGCCAGGACAGAGCTAGACGGCTCTGCTAGCGCACGCTGCCTCCACATGAATAATACATGTGAGCATCGCGGTCCTTGGAAATGTTCTTCTCTGGTGGGTAGAGAGAAAAATCATTATTTCTACTTTTATGATTCCTGAGACTCCCGAACATGGCCATAAATATTACACCCAGGTGGGATTTTTTTTTTCCCTTTTCTGCGGACAGACTTAAAAGTTTGGTTGGGTTTTTTTTTTCCCCCTCTTAAAGGCATCACTCATACACAGAGTTCATTCACTCTCTCTCTCTCTCAGCGCTGCCTTCCTGGCCCTCCAGCGGTGGCCTGGACCCCCTGGGAGGCCCTTCCCATTGAGCAGCTCCCTTGGGTCCCTTCTTCTGGCCCACAGCTGCTCCCTGCTGCACTTCTGGTCCTTTCTGGGCCCTGCCCACAGCCTGAGCCCACGTGGCAGGTGCCCAGGTGGCACGCACAACTGGGAAGATCATAGGCAGTGCCACTCTCACCAGTGCCAGCCATGTGGCCCTAGCGGAGGGGGCAGGTGACCCTGTTCCCACCCCCACTGCAGGCCTCTGCCAGGAGATGGCCCTGCTTCCAGGCGGGGGACATGGTGCCAGCCCCATGCCTGCCAGGCAAGGCTGGCTGCCCGACTCCCCTTCTTGCTCTTTGCAGCGGGGAGAACTCTGCCGTGCTGCACTATGGACACGCTGGAGCCCCCAATGACCGCACAATCCAGGATGGAGACATGTGGTGAGTAAGGCCGGCCTGGAGCCCTGCTACCTGCCCTTATGCGGGAGCTGCTGGGCCAAGGTCGGACTCGGTGTCAAGATCAACCAGGAGCCTCCTGGTCCTAGGAGGGCCAGCCACAGCAAGATCCCCAGACCTGCGCTTAGCTCAGACCCTCTGCTGGGGTGCCATCCTGCACAGTGTCCTCTGAAAGACGAGAGCTGGCAACCTTCCCGGAGGCACTAAGGGAAGGGGCCCCTGTAGCTCCCTGAGGGTGCTGGCATGGGCTCCAAAGAGGGCCTGAGGCACACCACCCACACCTGCCGTCCAGCCCATCCGGCCTCCTCCGCCCTCAGAGCTTGGGGCCTGGATGGCCCTTGGGATGGTGGGGCCCTCCATTTGCGGTAGCAAAGCCCAGGACAGGACCAGGGGCAAAGCTGCCTCAGCTCCACCCCCAGGGACAGGGGTGAGGCCACCATAGGTGTTCCCACATCCTCTACCCTTCTGGGAGCAGTTGTGGTCCTGTTCCTGGACCCCTGCCACATGGGAAGCCAGTGCGATCTGGGAGGGGACGGCACTGGCCGCTTCAGACTGGACTCAGCTGCCGATGGCCAAAAGCGGGTATGAGCTCCACCGCTGCAACTGCGAGTGAGCTGTGCAGCTGGTATCTGCAGGGACCCCCTGGAGTCTTTCCTGATGCCCTTTGACCCTGGAGCCCAGCCCAGTTTGGTCGGGGTGGGGTGGGGCAGATTCTGGGATCCCAGTCCCAGGCAGAAAGCAGAAAGCTCCAGCAACACCAGCAGTTCCCAGGGTCCTGGGGCAGCTCTGGCCTGGGGGAGGGTCCCAAACCCAAGCCTGTATGCCCATGAGTCTGCTGGGAACGGAGCAGCTGTGGCTGCTTCTCCCAGGGCCCAGCTGGAGATCCGTGCACTGTGCCCAGGCCCCCAGCCTTACTGGGCTGCAAGTGGCACCTGTGTCCTCCGTCGCAGCTGCAGAGATGGGAAGCTCCAAGGAAGCCCACGGACAGGAATGCCAAGTGCAGATGGGTGATGTTGTTCTCCTAGTGCCAACTTTGAAACGTAGCCAGTAGAATAATTATGAGTTTATTACAGTCAATTTATTATGCGGCATTTAGAACAACATGTTTTGTTGATTACTGCTACTGCCAGATTGCCGGCGGCATTTATAATCCATTGTTTTATTGAAATTGATCTGCCGCGCACCCACTGCGTTCGGTAAATAATAAATCACTCTGTTATCCTCCACATAAAAGCCACGCCACTCCACCAGAAGGTGTGAAGCCAAAACAGGGGCAAACAACAGGGCTCCCCCGAAGCTGAGGGCCTCCCCAAGTAGCTGACGCACTGGGAGCACTGGACAAGACTCCCCAGAGCTATTCCATGTGGGGCCAGAAGGGGATGCCTGTTGCACCCATCTCTTCTCACTCCTCAGGACGGATGTCCCCAACTCCAGGCCACGCACCCTCAGGGAGCTCAGCGGGTCCCCAGATCAAGCCCTGGCCTCTCTTGTCCTGGTTGAGCTGGACAGCCCTGGGGAGAGGTGGGGTCAGAAGCGCGGAGCGTGGAGCACGGAGTGAGAGCACGCAGGCTGCAGGGGGCATCGACACACATCCTTTCTGTTCTCTGTGTGCAGCCCCGCCGTCATCCCACGGGGCACAGGTGCCACGAAGGACTTGCCCTTGACCGGGGCCTGGGAGGGTTGCTGCTCCAGGACAGGGTCAAGAGTCAAGACTCAACATCAGGCACCCGTGTCTCTAGCTCCACCCTGCCCTGCCAGCCCTGTAGGGGTCCTGCGCTTAGGGATTCTGGAGTGAGGGGGACCAGGCTGTGATGTAGTGGGACTCCCTGAGACTTGATGTTGGTTGCCAAGAGGCTTCCTGTAGCTACCTGAACCCTTTGCCACTGGCCTTGGGGTGCCCTGTGAATCCTACCCTTGGCAGCTTGCTGTTCTGGGAGCAGCCAGTAGCTACCTTCGTTTTTCTTTCTAAAACCAACAAGCTCACCTCTAAAATAAATTTTTATAAGATTTATTTATTTGAAAGTCAGATAAAGAAAACAAGGTGAAGGCAGAAAGAGAGAAACTGCATCATTGGTTCACTCCCCCAAATGGCCACAACAGCTGAGGGTGGGCCAGCTGAAGTCACGAGCCTGAGCCAGGTCTCCTGCCAGGGTGCCAGGGGTCCAAGCACTTGGGCCATCTTCTGCTGCTTTCCAAAGCACAGGGAGCTGCATCAGAACTGGAAAAGCCTGGACTTGAACTGGTACTCATATGGAATGTCCAAGATGGTGGTGGTGACTTAACCCGCTGTGCCACTCCACTGGTCCCCAAGGCACGCCCCCTGAAACAGGGCTGCAGAAGTGGGCACAGTTGGCCAACCCTTATCCAGGTCACTGGGTACCCTTTCTAATTGGGCAGCCCAAAAGGACCCTCACTGATTCTAGCCCCAGTTGTGGGCACAGCTGTGGATGGGACTTGCCACTCTTCCCTGGTCGAACTCTGCCCCACCTGAGCTCTGTATGGAGTTACCAGAACCCATTGAAGGCAAGAACATGGCTGGGGCCCTGAGTGGGGCACCGGGTTGGGGAGGAGCCCAGCATATGCCCACTGTGGGCTCTGATTTGGAAAGCAGCCGAGATATCCTTCCTCTCCTGACAAATTAGCTAACAAGAGGGTCACACACTGGCCCCTTTGAGTACCTTCTGGGGCAAAATCCAAAGATGCTGCACTGGTGTGTTAACACAGCTCTGTGGAAAGCATGATTGGCGCGCCTTCCAGCACTTGCCAGAAGAGGGCAGTGTTGTCTCAGGACGTGTGGGCCCAGCCTCACCCCTGCTGGGTGGTGGTCTTGCACTAAGACTCCTGTGCATGGGAGCCTAGGGCTGGCTCAGCTAAGGAGGAGGGAGGCCTGTCCCAGTGCCAACTCAGCAGCTTGCCCCTGTCTGTCTTCCCTGTCCCAGTCTGACTAGCCCCCCACCCTGGCTACCAGTTCCACCCAAAGAGGGGCTTAGAGATGCCCTGGACTATGGCTGCCACGTGTCCTTGCTCCCACTGCCTGAGCCACAGCCCCGACCTATGGGCCTCCCCTTGCCACAGGTGTTTCTACTGCAGTCCCTCACCCTATAGGCTAGGGTGCCCACCACCCAGGGTTTCAGGGCCCCCTTGGCATCACTGGCCCCTCAAGCAGGGATGGGATGATTCAGGTCACAGATTGTCTTGAGTCTGCACAGTGGGCCCCATTAGGGTGTGGCTCTGGGCCCCAAGTCCCTTCCCCAGCTGCAAGGAGTGCAAGAACCTCCCAGCCCCACTTCCCCACTGTAGCCCGATGCCTGGGGATGCGGTGGAGCACATATGTTCCCCCAGGGCCCGCACCCCGCCCAGAACCTCCTGACCTTGACCTTGCAGCCTCTCTAAACCCTCCTGATGGCCCCCAGGCAGCTCCCTTCTGAGAACATGCCCAGTTCTTGCAGCCCATCCCCACCAGCTGGGCATGGCCTTCAGCTGGTCCTTAAACGTGTGGACACACCGTTACTCTGGCCAGACACCCTTGCCATGTGCTTCTGTGTGTCTGTGGAGGCCTGCAGTTGCACCCACTCAGCTGACGTCACAGCCCAGGCAGCCGAATGCACAGGCCTCATGAGACCCCGGTGGCCAGAGTGGCAGAACGAGGCATGTGCTGTGTGCATGACTCTGCTCTCTCCCCTCCCCTGCCCACTTCCCAGGGAGCTGCCCTTCACCTTGGCCTTGGCCATCATTGCTATACATGCAGCAGGTCCCACTACCAACCCAAGGCAAGGGGCCTTGTGACTTCTGGGGGTCTTGGCCCCCCTGTCGGTTCCCCATCCCCTGTGAAGTGTCAGCAGGTGAGTGGGAGGGCTCCAGCCCCACATGGCTGCCTAGTCATCATGTGCAGCAAGGATGGCTGGCTACTGTGGTGCCTGGAGACCCAATACTGTTGCCAGTGTGGACCATTCACTTGGGCAACCCCTGGCTGCCAGGCCCCCAGAAGCCACTGTCTTTTGGCAGGGTCAAGGTGGGCAGAAGTGCCCAAGAACATGTTGGGAGAGGGCCCCACGAGTCATGGCTTTTGCCCCCTGCCCACCACACCTGCAGACTGGTACTTCAGGAAGACCCGGCCAGGAGCTGGGCCTGGCAGTGTGCAGGGGCTGCCCGCTGCAGCCACTGAGAGGAAAAGCGAGCCGGGGCGCCTTCCTCTGTAACTCATGCTGAGGTCTGGAGGGAAGCGAGAGTTCCCACTGCTCAGAAATCCCCTGGCGTGGCCTGGTTGGCTTGGCCTGGGACACAGACTGGGGCAGTCGCACGTTGGGGTCTGCAGAGTCCCAACCACGGGTGTTGGGAGAAACAAGGGGCCATGCCACCACCCAGACACAGGTCACAATCAGAGGACAGAGTGGCCCCCTGGTAGACACTGCAGCATGTGCCCTGGAGCATGCCCCACAGGGAGCCTGTGTAAGGGGGGGTCCCATGGTGGCAGGTAGCCCAGGCCTTGGAGCCGCCCAGGAAGCAGGCAGCAGGAGGCCTCCCCCCTCTACCACGGCAACGCCAGCGTATTGCTTGGAGATGTGTCCTGTGTCCCCAGATGTCTTTGATTATCACACAGAGCCACTGGGCCAAAGATGGTAGTGTCCCCGGTGGGTGTCCCCAGGCAGCCAGGAGTCGGGGAGCCAAGTATGAGCAAATTGTCCACCGTGAGCCTGCACGGAGCGGCGGCAAGGAGGGGCCACGGTTGATTTATACGAGCCATGGCTCCGCTCCCTGGATTCCGGAGTGGCTTCAATCTGCAGCACTTGGGCATGTAGAAGCTCGAGGGAGGGGGAGGAGGAAAAAAAAAGACAGAAAAAGATAGGGAACTGAGAACACGAAAATACACGAAAATAGACCTCAGCCCCGTGCCTGGGCCTGGCTGGGCAGCGTGGAGCTGGCCGGCTGGGTGTACACTTCCTTCCCCGCAAAGCGGCTGATCATAAGACATGAAGAAATACAGTTGAAGGCTTCTCGAATTGGGAAGATAAGGCCAGGCTCGCTGCAGAAATGCAGGCAGCTGCTGCCCTACCCTGTTGTAGGTGATCCTGCTGTTTGCTGTGTCTGAGAGTTTCCTAGTTTTTTCATGCAGTTTAGTTTCTTTTTCTTTTAGATCAGTATCATGCATAGCAGCTTTCTGCCAGGGCTGGGGGGACAGAGGGCGGGGGCTCCCCAGGAATCTGTGTCTCTCTCCGCTCTCCCGTCCACTATGCCACTCCTGGCCCTGTCCCATCTGCCCGAGCCATTCTTGGATGTCTTCAACCAGCAAACCACAAATCATTTTCCTGCATCAGCTCTAGGGAGCCCAAAAGAATATGCTTTCCCAGGGTAGATCTGGGGTCCCTACCCCCCCACCCTGGCTCCACTCGGGTCGGCCCCATGGGGACCTGGTGCGTTAAGGCCCCCGCTGTGTTTGTCATGCTCTGTTTTTCTCACCACGTCTGAGAGATGGAGTACCCATCCTTTTGGCCTGCGGCAGCCAAGGCTGAGCAGAGAGAAGCCAGAGGCAGGAGCCCGGAACCCCAGCTGGGTCTCCCGTGGGGGAGGGGGACACAAGGCCAGCCCATTACTTTTTGAACCGTCACTGCTGCCTCACAGGGCCTACATTTGGGGGAGGCTGGAGCCCAGTGGCCAAGAACTGGAGTCAGGTCCTCCGAGAGCTACAGCCACTGAAGCTGACTGCATTGCCCATCCCCATTTTAGAGATGAGGAATACTGAGACCCTGAAGGCAGAGTCAGAGCAGGGGAGCTGCAGGGCTCTGAGGGAGTTACTGCTCCCCAGACTCTGGGCTTTGCTGCTCGCAGCACTCAGCGCCCCCATTTCCCTGTGGGTGTCAAGCTCAGAGCTGCCCCACCCTCCTGGCCAACCACAGCAGCTGCTGGCCTCAACACCCAGCCCTGCAGTCAGGGCCTCCCGGGGAGCTGACGCCGGGTGGGGCCGTGCGCAGGACCGCCCTGTGTCATTGTCTGCACACAGTGGGGCTGGGCTGCACCACCCCTTCCCTGCCCCACCCCAGCCTCCGACTGGCTGCCTGGCTGATGGGCACTCCTCCCCCTGCTGGGGGGGGGGGAGTCACTTGAGGTGTCATCAGGTGCACTGTTGACATTGTTTATGGTGTCTGGCTGGCAGAAGTACGCAGCCAGGGACTTAGGATTCCTAACGAAGCATCAGGTACCCTGCATCTGCCAGTGCTGCCCGGCAGACCACGTGGCTGGACTGCTAGTCCCAACACATGGCCAGGGTCCCACGCCCTGCTCTGTCCTTTGGATTAGGTCTCCTTCCCCCTGCCAACCACCCCCCCACACACACACACACCCCAGCCAGCACACAAACAGCTTCTGGAATGTTCAGCGGCTGCGGTTAGCGCGCAAGTTGGATTGGGGTGAGAGGCCCTTGTAAAGGGAGCCGCGGCTGTGCCCCTGGGCCCAGCTTTGGCAGGACCCATGCAACTGCACATGCCCCTTCCCCCGCCACCCCCTGCCCAGGAAGCCCAGCACGGAGCCAGACCCTTAGCAAAGCTGGGCTCATAGCCAGGCCCAGAGGAGGAGGGCAGCCCTGTTACCTAAGGCCCTGCTGGCTCTGCCGTTACCTGGTCCTGGGGATCTCAGACCTGGGGCTAGTAGGGCTTGGTCCCCCAGGCTCACTGCCACACCCCTGGTCTGTTATCACAACCACATGGGAGACCCTTTCACATAAGGGCTGCCTCCTCCATGCAGTCCTGGGAGTGAGCAGGGCAGACTCTTATGTGCCCTGGAACAGACAGGTAGGTGCCCATCACCAGAAGTCCAGGAGGCGGACCCAGTCACTGTCCTGACTCAGCACGCCTGGCCCGCTGTCCCCCCAGTGCCCCGCCTGCACTGGCTCACTGTTCCTGGAACCCTGGCCTTTCCTGCCCTCCCCTTCATGCTACACCCTGTGTATGTCACCCAAGGATACAGGATGGCAGCTCCAGCAGACAAGGCCCCAGGAAAGCCCTGGTGGCCCCGGGGCTGTCCTCAGGCACTCCCTCCTGCTCCTTGCCTGCCTCAGGCCCAGCCAGGACAAGCCCATCCTACCCCCGTGCAGAGGAGGATGGTGTCAGACAAGCTTTTATGGCCAAAGGACCCCAGAGCAGAGAAGGAGGTGGCAGCTGCTGGCTGGTTCCCACGCCGACACCACCGGGGCCAGGTGCCCTTCCGGATCCATCCAGCACGTCTATCCGCAGGCCCCTGCCGCCTCTCCTTCGCATGCGCCTCAGCCTGTGCGGGATGCAGGGCACACCTGGGATAGATGTTAGGATGCTTATGTGGTAGCCATGGCCCTGGGACGTGTCTGTCTCCCCCTTTGCCAATCACTCCAGAACAGGGCTGGTGGGTAGCCCCATCCCTCTCTGGCTGAGCTCCGTGTCCCAGGCTTGTTTGGGGGACTGAGGTCCTCAGGCCCTTAAGGTGGAGTGGCCCCCCAGCAGTCACTCCAAGAGACGGGGTGCTGACTTGAGCCCCCTGATCCACCCAGGGCTGAGGAAGAGAGTGGTGTCCCCCACATGGCTGCAGCCTCACACTGGCCTCTCTCTGCAGCCTGTTTGACATGGGTGGTGAATATTACTGCTTTGCTTCCGACATCACCTGCTCCTTTCCTGCCAACGGCAAGTTCACCACAGACCAGAGGGCCATCTATGAGGCTGTACTGCGCAGCTGCCGCGCCGTCATGAACGCCATGAAGCCAGGTAAGCTGGGGGCTGGTGGGGGGACACAGCGGGGAGCAGGTACCTGCAGGTGTACTCTGTGACTTGAACCTGCCGCCCCAGCCCACCCCAGCTGTCAGTTCCCCAAGGTTGCTCCCAGGAAGGGGACTGACCACCATGTGGGGGCAGCCACGAGTTGGGGGGCACAAGACTGCAGGTCAGGCTGACCTCTGCCCACGCCAGCTGCTGCATCATCAACTTGAGCCCTGCCCCAAAGCAGAAGCCACTCCCTGCAGCCAGTCTTGGTTCATATATCTTGCTGCTGCCCCCACTCCTGTGGCCCATGCAGGCCCTGCCAGTCTAACCCTCAGCATCCTATACACAGTGGTCTTTTTTTGTTGTTGTTGTTAAAGATTTATTTTTATTATTTTCTTATTGGAAAGACGGATATACAGAGAGGAGAGACAGAGAGGAAGATCCTCTGTCCAATGATTCACTCCCCAAGTGAGCGCAACGGCCGATACTATGCCGATCCGAAGCCAGGAGCCTCTTCCGGGTCTCCCACGCGGGTGCAGGGTCCCAAGGCTCTGGGCCGTCCTCGACTGCTTTCCCAGGCCACAGGCAGGGAACTGGAAGGGAAGCGGGGCTGCCGGGATTAGAACCGGCGCCCATATGGGATCCCGGGAATGCAAGGCGAGGACCTTTAACCACTTGCGCCACCACACCAGGCCCACACAGTGGTCTTGAGCTGTGGAAGTCTTATGAACCCCTGGCCAGGCCAGCTAGCATTAGGACACTTTCTATCCACTGCCCCATTGCCAAGCTCCCTACCCTCCCCCAGTCCCATGCTGGCCCAACACAATGAGTCTGGTAAACAAATACAAGCCCAGGCAGAGGCCAGGCAGGTCCCAGTCCCAAGAGGAAGAGGGGTGATGGAGCCCTATTTGCAGCTGTGGAGGAAAAGCATGTCATGGACTGATGTGTCTGTTACACGGCGGCACAGCTGGGTGGGGTTCGTGGGTCCACAGAGGAGGTATAGGAGGATGACGGGGTGGGGGAGAGCGCCGAGTCCCTTCTGGCCTGCAAATCCTGCGCTGCCTCGCTGTTAGCTGCTGCATGTCTACCTTCCCTTCTTCACACCAGGGAGGAAAAGTGTGGCTTCAGTTTGCAATCCTGCCAATCACTTAAACGATTGCAGATCATTTCAACGTAGCTTGAGCTGGGGTGGCCCCTGCAGCCTCTGCAGTGGCCCGTGGTTTCCATGCCAACCCAGTGTGTACAAAGCTGTCCTCGTTATGCTCCCAGCTATTGGCCACTCCGCAGCTCTGCCCTGGTGGGCCGTGTCACTGTGACACCTATGTTGACCATGAGTGAGGCCTGCAAGCATCCCCCAGCAACTCCTACCCACCCAGGCAGAGCTCTGCTGCCCCCCAGGGCCTGGGGACCCTCACGCACCTGTGCGCCGTACCCAGGGCCACATCCAGGGGTCCGGACAGGAGCAATGGAAGAGAGCTGCGCTGCAGCAGACTGCACATTAGGCAGGGAGAGAAACTAAGAAAGAAAGCTTCAGCCATCAGCACCTTCCCCAAAGCCAGAGCCAGAACTCAGTCTTGGTTTCTCACGTTTCCAGCAGACACAAGTGCTGGATCCGGGAATCAAACCCCAGGTCATCCGATGTGAGGACATGGACATCAGTAACCATGAGGTTCCATGCCCACCCAAGGGCTGGGGATCATCTGAAGAAGGGACAGCAAGGCTGTACCTCTCAGGGGGACCACTGGCAGGATGGGCAGGAGGTTGGGGGAGGTGTGAAAAAATGTCATCACCCCCGGAGCTCCAGGCCACCTGCACGGTGTGGCTGAGCCCTGGCTGCAGGAACTCCTGCTGGTGGCACCTCCAGTTGATGTTCTGGCCACTTAGGGCCAGGCAGGTGTCCCTCTCATTCTGTCTAGAGAGTGACAAGGTCCACAGGCTGCAGAAGACCTCTGGCTTGCCCGGGGATGACTAGAGCCACTAGGCCAAGCTCAGCTGACCTGCAGACCCTAAGGGAGGGCCTCACTCAGGCCCACACACTTGCCTTCTGCTGGAGATGAGGGAACCCATGCAAGGGTCTGGAGGACCCTTTTGAGGAGGAGGTGAAGCCAAGTCCTGGCAGTACTGCCCACCCCACCCCACTAAGTTGGACTCTATCTGGGTCATGCTCAGTCTGGGAGAGGGGCAGGAGGCCATGCCCACAGAGGTGCTCTGCTGATTAGGGTGGAAGGCGGGTCACCTCCCCCACAGCACCACAGAGGCCACGGCCAGGCCAGCCCCCCTGGGATGCATCCCAGAGGAGGAAAGCCCCTGGTTTGTGGATCCAGCTCCTGTGCCAAGACAAATACCCCAGTGAGACTGCTGGGCTGCTTCCTGAAACCTTCCAGGGAAGAGTCAATAAAGACAAGCAGGAAATCCCACAACGATGCCCAGAGGAGAGGCAGAAATTAATGATCAGAACACAGGACGGCTCCCGGCTGATGCCGCCCCAGAGAATTGAAGAACGCTGGCCTGGCACCTCATCCCGGGGCCCAAGGAGCTGTTTCCTCTGCCGCTCAGAGGCTGCAAGGCAAGGAGGGTAGCAGTGGGGGCGCAGCAGGCCCACTGAAATCCAGGTTCGCTGTGGCCTCCTGTTACTGGGAGCCAGGTGTCTGAGCTGGCCACCGGCACAAGTTCTTTCGGTCTCACCCACTCACTGCCAGGCCTTGCTTCCTGTAAATACCCAGCGCCCCACCTCCCAGCACCCCAGGCCTCTGTGCCCATGAGAGCCTCATTGCTGCCCATGCCACATGAGTGACATTCCTGTGCATGGCTCCTGTAGCTGTCTGCACTGTACCTGACTCCTGGCTCTGGGTCCTGGCCACTTTTGAGGGGCAGGGAGGACTACCCAGGGGAATCCAGAGGAGTGGGTCCCAGTGTGCCCTCAGCATGAGCAAGGAGGAGCACCTAGCTGTGGGTTGTACACATGTGTGAGTGCAAGTGGACGCCCACAGATGTGCCCTGAGGGCCCTGGGCCAGCGCTGCCACCCTCCCAGATGGACAGTGCCGGAGTAGCTGGACTCCCCCCTTCAGGGCCTTCTCTTTAAAGATGGCACAGACAGTGCTACAGGGAGCACATGGCATTCCAGCCCTGAACCCTCTCTGCATCAGGGGCTGGGACAAACAGGCTCCGTTTGCATCCCCACAGCTGGCTGGGGGCTGGTTGGCAGGTTCCGCCCACCACCACCTTTGTGTGCTCCCCAGGCGCCCTGCTGCACTGTGGACTTCCAATGGGAACAGGAAAATGCACTCCATCTGCATCTGGGCACCTCGGGCATGGTGCAGAGCCAGTGGACCTCTAAGGTCCCGGAGTTGGATGGGGTCCTCTTCCCACAGCTTCTGCCAGGCAATTATTGGCCACCCCCAGGGCCTGCCCTGGGACCCCAGCCCTGAGCCCTATCTCCTGTACCCCCTCAGAGTGTGGCTCACCCAGCCCATATCACACCCCCTCCATGCTCCCCCACCTATGGGTCACTGCAGATGAAGAGGACTGCACATGGGGGGCCCTCTGCGGCCCTCCCAGCTTGGCTCAGCCCTGGGATCACCCTGGGCTGGGAGGCTGAGCTGCAGACCCAGCAGGAGAAGGTGCTGACGATCCCCCAGAGCTGCCCTGTACTCATCCTGGGGCATTGTGTCCCTGAACTGAGGGTCTCCTGAGGTAGGACAGACAGACAGACCCAGAGGCTCCACTGGGCACCCTGGGAGGGGGCAGGGCACCCCTGGATCCTGGGCCCTCATGATGTGCCATGCCCAGAACAGGTCTCGGGGTCTTAGGGTCCCAGGGCCATCACCAGATCCCAGCTGTCCTCATGTGCCTTGCTAGTGTAGAAGACCTCTGGCTGCATCAGAGAAGGCTTTCTGGAAGAAAAGCCCCAATCAGAGGCCCACAGGAGGAAATGGGGCCTGAGGGGCAGTCCCATCTAAGGGACCATGTGGGCAGAGCACACAGAGTGCCCGCTCTCAGGCCCACTGGTCTGGGTCTAGCTGCCCCGGTCAGCAGTGGCTGAGGGACATGGGTCGGGTGGCTGGGGTGTCCAGATAGGGTGTGGGTGACAGCAGATGAAGGGGATAGTGAGGCCCGGGCAGAAATGAGGGGCCAGGTTAGAGAAACCCTTCAGGTAGCCAGAACAAGCTGTCATGCTCTGTGACATCCCTGGTACAAGCGGGCTTGGGGCCAGGGGCTCCGGTGTAGGAGCCCTTGGGAGGCTGGCCTTGCCCCAGGGCTGGCAGGGAGGCCCCCACTGCTTGTGCCCGGCCCAAGGACAGTAACCTTCACACACTTGAGGGGCCCCGCCTCAGCCCTGAGTGTCGTAACCACCATCCGGGCCAGACACTGGGGCCAAGTTGCTGGGGGTTTAATCACTGTCACAGCCCTAACCACACACAGGCAGAAACTCCATGGCCCGGCCAAGAGAGCTGTGTGCAAGGCCTTCCCTGAGGGCCCTGGCGAAGCCGACCAGAGGCGCCGCGGGGCCGCCTGGGCCTACACGTCCAGGCAGGCGCCGGGCCGTCCCCAGGAGGGGCCCCCACGAAGCATGATTTATACCTGCTTCCCACCCTTGCTGAGGCCAGGCCAAGACCACAGCCTGTGGTGGAGGCTGGCCGGGTTTGAAGGCTGCGCTTCTCAGAGCCCCCCACGGCCGTGGCCAACAGCCCAGGGAAGCGAGTTGGGGGTAGGGTGGGAGTGCCAGCAGAGCTGGAGCTTGCTCTGCCCAGCGCGGGGGCTGGCTGGCTCCACCCCTGGAGCAGCTCTTCCTGCGGGCAGCAAGCTGGCAGGTGTGAGTAGGGGACAGCTGCTCATCTGAGGTGCAAGAACCCTTGGCAGGATCCCCACAAGGGTTCTCAGGGAGGGGCCAGCTTTTATGCTGTGACACCTCTCCCACAACAGAAGGATTCAGGAACAAGGCCAGCACAGAGAGCATGGGCAGGTGTTAAGACACTTCTGGATTGCAGGGGGGGTGGGGCTGCATGTGGGACAGGTCGGGCCTATGCCCCCAAGACTCCAAGTGTGAAGCTGGCACATGGCAGGATGTCACGATGTACACCTAGAAGCAAATACCACTATCTGGGGTGTGGTGTGCTGCCCTCCGCCCAAGCAGACACCAGAGACTGCATGCCAGCTTTCTAGGGTCCACGGCCTTCAGTGGTGGTGACCTCTGAGGTTTAGGGAGGTCACACAGGAAGGCTGGCCATCAGGGACATTTCCAGCCCGCAGGAGTGCTGCTCAGGCCAGCCAAGGTGTCATTCACACACATGCCTGCCTGGGACCCCAGAGTGGCTGTCCCCAACCCTGTTCCTCCTGTGCAAGGGGCCCTGGTATCTCTTACCTCCAGCACAGCCAAGAATATCGCCACGGGGCATCCAGCAGTGGCAGGGAAAGGGCCCCACGGTGTCTGGGGGGCCTCCTTTGCCGCCCCGCCCACTGAACCTTGGGGACCTTGGAGTTGCATCCATCCCAGCCCCCAGCAGCAGCCATCACCCACACCAGGGCAAAGTGAAGGGCGAGGCTGCCTCCGAGCCAAACTTGTATGGCCCTAGAGAGGGCCTTTGCCAGGCGTCTGCTGTAGCAGCCACACTGGCTGCCCCCTCTGGCCAGTGCCCCCAGACAGGGATCTGGGCCCTCACTCTGCCCACCTGGACTCTGTCTCACCCAGCACTTGGCTGGCTGAGGGTCAGGGCAGGAGGCTGGCTCAGGTTCCTTGCCAGAGTCCAGAAGTGGGGCTGGAGCCCCTCTGGGTGGGGGGTGGAGGATGGCTGAGCACTGTAGAAGGGAACTCTCCTTGGGTGCCCTATGGCACTAGGGCCTCCTTCCCAGAGGGCTGGGCAGAGCTGAGGACTCTGCTGCTGAGATTCAGTGACCTTGGCCCCAGAAACTCCAGGGCAAAGATTCATTTGATTGGTAGCCTGGGCTACAGGACCCTCTTCCACTCACCCACCCACACAGCCTCTGCTAGTAAACAGTGAGGCTGGGGCAGCAGCACCTGCAAGTATGAATCAGTCCCACTCTTAGGATGTGTGCAGGGTGCCCCCTCCTGTAGCCCAAGCCACAGACCTGGGCGCACGGCCCATGGAGGCTGCCCTGCGGCTGCTGTGGCTGCTGGGGGAGAAGCTCGTGCCCCTCCTCCTGCTGCCCAGCCATCTGGCTGTGCTGCCCAGGCCCCCAGGCGTTGGTGTGACACAGGCTAGGGAATAAGCCTGGATAAGCCTGGGCTGGCTGGCTCCTGGGGTCAGAAGGGTCTTGATGTGCAGAACTCAGAGGGCCTCCCCAGCTCACTGCTTCTCCTCCTGAGCCACAGGTGTATGGTGGCCCGACATGCACCGCCTGGCCGACCGCATCCACCTGGAGGAGCTGAGCCGCATCGGCGTGCTGAGCGGCAACGTGGATGCCATGGTCCAGGCCCACCTGGGGGCTGTGTTCATGCCTCATGGGCTAGGCCACTTCCTGGGCATTGATGTGCACGACGTGGGAGGCTACCCCGAGGTCAGTAGGAAGCTGTCTACTGAGCATGGCTCTGGGACACAGCTGGTGGGATGGGGGTTGGCCCCAGGAAAGGCCCTGGTCCAGACAAGGCAGATGCGTGGGTGTTCCTCCTCTGGCTGCCTGCAGGGGCACTGGAATGGGTTCCCCTGGGCACTGGGTGTGCAGAGTCCTGTCCAGTGTACGAGGCTTTGGTGATAGCGCCACCCTGAATCCCTGAAAACTTCCTGTATGTAGCTGTGTGAAGACGCATGCCCCGGGCCCACTCACTCTTCCTGCCCAGGTACCTTTGGGATGCTTGTGGCCCCACCCACCCCTCCTAGGACCACCCAAAGAGGAGGCCCTCTCAGGCAGGTGGCTGTGGCTTCTCTAGGCCCGGCAGGATGGGGGAAGCCTGGCTCCGTGCCCACAGCGCAGGGACTGATTAGGCAATGGGAGCACGCCCTGGGTTCCGCCAGCCAGTGGGCCAAGACCAGGCTTGGCCTGGTGGCTGTGGGGTATTTTGAAAGCACCAAGAATGATTTTTTTTGGGGGGGGGGGGTATAGTATTGCTCAAGAGAAGCATTATTATTCAATTATTTTTTTCCTCAAGTGTAAACAGTTAAATTTAGAGAAACAAAATCAGTTTTAATTTCCTAATTTCTCCCATCCCATTGTGTGCAGCGAGCCAAGAGCAGGGCCTTCCAGACATTGTTAGCCGAGCTTCGTTATTCATTCGTTGCCAGGGCACTTTTTTTTTTCCACCAGAGAAAATTGGCAGCAACCAGTTTTCATCTTTTCCAGTAAGCAGCCCTTTGTGCTCACAGAGTCTATTCTTCTGACAGATAAACACTGTGGAAAAATATGGCTTTTCCTATAAAAGTCATTTGTTTTAGTTCAGGCCTATACACACATCTGGGGCTCCTTTGCTCAGAGCCCTCGTCCCTGGGCAGAGGCAGGCATGGGCCCCGTGGGTGCAGGCCCCTGCACGCCCCCAACAGGGTAGGTGGCCAGGGTCACGGGGATTGGCCCCTTCACAGGAGGCCAGCTCTTGGTCCAGTGCTACCTCCCCTTTGGCCTCCCTGGCATGCTCAGGCCTGTGCCCTATCCCTGGTAGACCCCCAGCCACCCTCTGAAGAGGCAGCCTCAAACCAGTCAGCTGGGGAGGCACAACCTTTGCCCTCACCCCTGGAGGGGATTCTTTCCATTCAGTTTGGCAATCCTAAAACCTTCTGGCCAGAGGGAAGTGTACCCCCACTGCACCCCATGGGGCAGCTTTGCATGGGTCCCCAGGGATGGTGGGGCAAGGCCTGGCTTCCAGCTACAGGGAAGAGAGGACACGCACTTGAGGTGTGCATGAAGGGTCTGGTGGCTGAAGCTGGAGAGTCATGCCAGTGGGCAGGGAGGAGGGGGACCAGGCACTGGCTTCAGGTGGCAGGAGCAGGACAATTCTGGAATAGAGACCCTGGGACCTTCAGCTCTGACAAGCCCCAGCCCTGCCCCCTAGCGCCTCTCAGCTGAGCATGGGGACCTTGTTCCAATGGGAACTGCTAGCTGAGCAGGACCCTGCCTCCCAGCATCCCCCTCTCCTCCAGGTCAGTGGCCAGAGGAAGGTACTGTGGGGCTCGGACCTCAGCAGTGGGCACATGTGCTTAGAGCATGGTCACGGTGGCTGTTCCCAGTCTCATGCAGTCTCGGGGCCGGCCTTCCCTGCTGTGCCTTGCCCCGGAGGCTGGGCCAGCCTGGTGCTGGTTACCTTACGTGAACCACTAATTGAAGTCTGATGTTCTTGGTCCCCAAACAGTCAGAATTGACAGCTCCATCTCCAGCAGCTGGGTTTCCTGAGGGGAACCACAAGCAGGACCGGCTCGGATCCTGACCAGAAAGCAAGCTGGCCATCCGCTCACTCAAGAGGCCCTGGCCACAGGCCACATGTGCACCCCAGGACCTAGACAAGACTTCTACCAGTACCCTGGGTGCCATCTGCCCCAGGCTAAGGTCTTGTCTGCACAAGGAGGTGCACATGCTAGGGGACCCATCCTGATGCCAGCACTTGTCCCTCTTCCTGAGTGGGCATGTGGTAGACCTGGCCTGGCAGGGAGGCCGCACAGGTACTTTGGGGGCTAATTTGCACTCGAGCCACCTGGAAGCAGAGATGCAGCCCCCGGGAGGCCTCACAACCTTCCTTAAGAGCTTTTTTGGCTTCCCTGGTCTGACTGCTATCTTCCCCCCTGGCCAGAAGAGGGGCTCCGATGACGGCAGCCAGATACCCGGCCAGCCCCATGGGCCCACCCAGGCAGCCTGCCCTGGCTGTGTGCACACTGCTCTCCCTGGGGCTCTGGAAGTCAGTTCTGACGGTGTCCAGCGCCAGGGATGTTCAAAACACAGAGTCAGAGAGAGCTACCCGTGGCCAGCGTGCAGCAGTGGCGAGTCTGGGCTGGAGGCCCCCAGGTCAGAAAGCCCCAAGGACAGTGACCAGCCCTGGAGCTGCCGGCTGGGTCCTCCAGTCCCTCCCATTTCCACAGGGTGTGGAGCGCATTGACGAGCCGGGCCTACGCAGCCTGCGTACCGCACGGCATCTGGAACCTCGCATGGTGCTCACAGTGGAACCAGGTATCTACTTCATCGACCACCTCCTGGACGAGGCTCTGGCTGACCCAGCCCGTGCCTGCTTCTTCAACCGCGAGGTCCTGCAGCGATTCCGTGGCTTTGGTGGGGTGAGTGCCCATGGGTCCCACACTCCTGCCCCCAACCCCTCCCAGCCCCCTGACCCCCTGCCCATGCCGGGGGCTCCAGCACCCTGGCAGGGACAGGATGAGGAGGTGCTATGAGCAGCCAGTTGACCTGCAGAGCCCTGGAGGCCAGCCCCTCCCACCCGGGGTCCTCAGAAAGCTCCTCGGTCCACTGATGGCGCGCACCTGTCCCTCTGGCCCAGGTCCGCATTGAGGAGGACGTCGCGGTGACCGACACTGGCGTGGAGCTGCTGACCTGCGTGCCCCGCACTGTGGAGGAGATCGAAGCATGCATGTCAGGCTCTGACAAGGCCTTCACCCCTTTCTCTGGTCCAAAGTAGGGTCCACCAGGCATGCCCAGCAGGACTGGGGCCTGCCCCTCTCTGTGGTGGGGAGCCTGCTGATTGACCCCCACCACACACACTTCTGATCAGATAGTGCTTCCAGGCCACAAAACCCATTTGTATTAACCTGCTTAAATGACAGTGACTTAAAATGTTGCCTGATAAACCAGTGCCTCAGTAGCAACTAAAATCCCAGCTCACTGCCGCCGATTTATATTCTGTTTCTCAGGAGAGGCCTTCCCAGGGTTTCTTCTCAGACAATCACTGTGCAGAATGGAATTTGCAATAAAAGGTTTCCAAAAATGGTCTGCTGCATGCCACCCTCTTTACATTCAGCCCTTTCCAGTCAGGCACTCGGGACCCATGGCCTCTGGGAACAAGTGCTAGTGCTGAGTTGAAGCTCAGGAAACTCAGGGCTGGGTACACAGGCCTTCTGGCCTCTGCTGCTGCCTCAGCCTGGCCACACAAGGGCAGTGACCTGGCCCCAGGAGCCTGCTTTGAGTACTGGAGTCCCTGCCAGGCTTCGCTGTTGCTCTGTCACTTGTTACAAACTTCCCAAGACTAACAGGAGTCAGAACCACAGGGCTCTGAGTCAGAGATCCCCAGGACCCACATGAAAGCAGGACTTCTGCATCTCAGTTGCTAGGGGTGATGCAGGGAGGCTCTTTAACAAGCACTCACGAGGGCTCTTCTACCAAGCTTCAACCTTTTCAGTACCCAGTGGGGGGCTGTGTACAGCAAGCCCTAGACCCTCGGGTCAGTCCATCTGGTGGACCCAGCCTACACATCCCATCTCTGCACAGGCTCAAAGGCAGGATGGTTGTGATACGGGCACTGCCACAAAGTGAGTTACAAACAAAGCAGAATTACAAAAGAACCTGAGGTGCAGGGATTTTCTCATTTTCACATTGGACACTCATGAGGGTCTCTGTCCCTGATGCCTGTGCACGTGGTATACACCTGCCAGACACTGCCACTTACCACAGCATTGTGACAAGGCAGAGCTTGCTTGTTTCCTGTACCCAGCCCCCGCCCCACCCCTAGGAGCCAGCTTCTAGAATTCTGTACCCCTCCTAGGTTTGTCTCCACAGTGCTCTCACCTGGGCATTTCTGAGCCAAGGGAAAGTGCCAGTGAGAACAAGATGAAACCACAATTGGAGTAGGGGAGTCGGTAAGCAGGGCTAGACTCCCAGTCATCAAGGGAAGGATTTTCTCCTGTGGCAACATCAATGTATCTTGTGGCTACATTAGAAGGTCTAGGGTCCAATGCAATGGCTCAAATGGCTAATCTTCACCTTCCTTGCAAGCACTAGGATCCTATAAGGGTGCCAGCACATGTCCCAGCTGCTCCACTCCCCATCTAGCTCTCTGCTTGTGACCTAGGAAAGGAGTGGCTTCAGATCAGCTCAGCTCCAGCCATTGTGGCCATTTGGGGAATGAACCAGCAGACAGAAGAGCTCTCTCCTTTTCTCTGTAAATCTGCCAATCCAACAGATAACTCTTAAAAAAGAAAAAAAAAAAGTCTGTCTGATTTCCTCGCCCTTGATCTTACCTGCTCCTTAGGTGTGAAAGCTTTCTCTCCGAGTCATCTGCCTGTGATACTGAGCAGCGTGAGGAGCGTCAGGAAGCTCAGGGCTGCCCAAGTCCTCTCCATGCCACTGCCCTGTGACACTGTGTCCCCATGGGGTTGGAGTTCCTCTTGGTTAGGCTGAGAAAACCAGGTGAATGCCTCACACATCTTTCGCCTTCTTCTCCTACCCAAAGCACCCACCCCACATAGACCAAACAGAGCAAGCGGACCTCTCAGAGCCACCTTGTCCGAAGGACACTGGGGACAGAGACACAGCTTCTGCAGTCCAGTTCAACAGGTCAAAGGGTTTCTAGGTGGCTGGCACTCGCCACCTTCTCTGTGCTATGTTCCTGAGGCTGTAACCAGGGTGTCAGTCTCCTACCTTTGCAGAAACTGGTACATCTTCAAAACTAGAGACCCTTCCAGAAAGCTGTGTGGAGCAGCCTCCTCTGGCATTCCAGAAGTCTCTAAGTGCTGCCAACCTCTGCTCTCAGAGCAGCCAACACAGCTTCAGCTCCAACATACATGCCTAAAACACTGTGAGAAGCCCCATGAGAGTTCCAGTGGGCCAACAGGGGACCTCTCAGGAAGGGTCTGAGTGAAAGGCAAGAGAGGCACATTCCAAAGAACTGGCTCAGGAAGGAGGCGGTGCTATTCCTCAAAGCTCAGGAAAGCAGTGAGGCAGACACAATGGAGGATGCCGGGACTGCTGTGCAAGGAGTCAGCCAGGCTCAAGACAAGAGGTGAGGGGAGGTGACGCGGACTCAAAGGTGGTGATGACATGGAGAGACACCCGATCATGGTGAGAACTTGCACAGGGGCCACGGAGAAGCGTAAGGTGTGACAGCTAAGGCCAGGGCCAACACTGCAGCACCTGTCACTTGGTGGCTGCAGGAGCCAGGATGCTGCTGTGAGCAACAGCCCCTGGGGACTGGTGGTCCCCTCCGAGAAGCTGGTGAGGGTCGCAGATATGCCAGGGCCCAGAGAGGGCAGGCCAAAAGACCTTGCACCTTCACACTGCAAAGCATCTCTCAAACTCCCTGTGACAAGTTACCGGAGTCTAAATTACAACAAATCTATGAAAGTGAAATGGGAACACTATCCACAGAAATAATTACTGTCATTTTCATTGAGATACTTACAATTAGAAATGCATTTCCCAAGACATGAAAGACAGGAAAGATCCTGAAAGAAAAGTCTCCAAATGGCATCATCGTCGGGACATGCAAGTCAGTCTCTTGGAATCATGAGCAAGTTCCCCTCTAAAGACGCTCTTCCGCATCACACACGTCAAGGTGACAGGTAACATGTCCTATGAAGCTGTGCCCTTCCTGCTCTGTAAATGGAAACTATGCAAGATATGAAGTGATTAAACAGGAAATCATTTTATTGCCTTCAGTTTGAGAACAGACCAATTGTCTAAATGTACAACTTAAAGATTCATTCCAGGTCCAAATAAAGCTACCACCCTACCCATGCAGAGAAACTGAGCAGAAGTGGTGCCTGCCGCCGGCTCCCCACTGCCGGCCCTCCACCGCCGGCCCCTCACCGCCCCCTCCACCAGGCTGGACACAGGGGAGCCCACAGCAGAACCACTTAGCTGGCCTGACTGCTGGGATCCGATATAAAGAAACCCACAAGGAAATACAGTCGTCCTTTCAAAGTTTTTTTTTTATTTTAAATTCATTGAAAGAAATAAAATTATGTTTTAAAAAAATAGAGCAATCTCACAAACTGAGGAAAGCCAGGAACAAAAAGAACTAGTATTTTTTTTTTCCTGAGAGGCAGATCTAATTGCTGTAGATGGACTTTCTCCTTCCTAGCTTTTGTCAAACAAGAAATGTTTTTCTCCTATATCTAAGGCATCAAAAAGCACTGAGTGCTAAATGGGTTTTTCCCGATACCAGGTTTCAAGCCCTCTAATAGGGATTAAGAAACATCAAAAGCTGCTACAACCTCCTTCTGTTCAATAGTAACTTAAATTACACACACTGCTACTGTTTAAATGTAAGCTTCAGAATTTTCACACTCAAGACCTGCATTTCAAAAATCTGGTCCTATTTTATGAAAACCTCAGTACTGCTCAGTAAGAATGTCCACGTCTGAGCTGGCGTCCCAGTCCATGAAAGCAGCCAGACAGCAGCGGGGCTGGGCGGCTCAGACCTCGCCCTCTGCAGCCAGAACCAGAGGACAAGCACCCACCCCAGGAGATGCGCAGGCAGCCAGCAGTTCACACTAAAGCCTGCTTTCTAAATCACAAGATGTGTCCACGAAGGCGGATCCGATCTTTATCAGTTCAGAGGGAACACAAGGAAGTTACGAAAGTCACTGTGCAATCTCAAGTTCTAAACCCCATTCCTACAGTTGCTTGCCCTCCACCTAAACCATCAAAGGAAAACAGTGTGATAAGATAGTGAGGGGACTGGGTCGGGTTTCTGTCCTATCTATCCGCTCCTGTTACAGTTCAGATTTGCACAGGTAACAGGATTTTCCAGAAGTGGCCAACTTCTGTTCTGATTGGAAATGCAGAGTACACACTCCACTACCCTTAAAGCTTCTTTGCTCAGAACAGCTAATCCATGTAACTGGTAACCAAATTCCATGGGGGAGATGTCAATTTCCAAGAGATACTTCTTTTTCTTTTTTTTTAGTAAACGGGATTAAAATGCCTGTTACAGGTGTTTAAAGATTCAAGTGCCCCAACTGCATCTCCAATTAATTATAAAACATAAGTCAGCTTAAGATTCACAAGATTCCCTAAATCTTAGCTTTTCGAAACAACAGCCTCTAGGTAGACTGAAATTCCAAGGTAAACCAGGGCTGGGTCCTAACAGAACCCCACACCCTGTTTTCCGGCTCTGGAAGGCAGGAACTCCCATCCTGGTCAGCATTTCACAGAGGGACAGCGGGACCCCTGCCTGTGCATAGAACAGCTGCAAGCGTGGCTGAGCTGCTGGACACGGTGACGGTCAGCACCCTTCACCAATCCAGAGGCGTAGACGTGGTCTACAATGTGGTCACATTATTCCAAATCCTACCAGGAAGGAACAAGGTGGCCAAAAACTGTCATGTTCAAATGAGACACCAGACAGCACAAACTTAAGAAAGACATATCCCTCATCACCAGCCCAGGCACAAAGAACTACAAAAATGTCAGCAATTCCAAGCCAGAATTATGCTACCAAAAAAAAAAAAAAAAAAAAAAACCACCCAGTAATAATAATAAAAAGAACATTAACAAAGACCACCTAGACTGGCGACATTGACCATTGACCCACACCAGACTCAGATTTCCTACTTCAGTGATTGCCATTTCTTAGTCAACAAAAATGTTAGTAAACCTGAGTTCTACGGGCATTTCCTTCCTAAAATAACTTACGAGACATAAAAGTATGCAAATGAATAGACTGAAGCAGTGATACACCAAGTCTGAAAAAACAGCCCACTAATGAGAAAAAGAAATGTCACAAAAACAATATAAAAAGTTGTATATATGTGAAATAAATTAAAGGTTAGAACCTTACACATTTTCAAGTTTCCTTGGACTACAATTTTGGGAAATGGCATGGAGTTGATGTATTTTTTTCTCATCATCACTTGGATGAGATACCAAAACAATCCTTCACGAGGAATTTCTGCCTTTAGAAGTCATGGCTGTGACAGCTGCTTTGCACAAAGGGGCAAACGACCTGCAGAATTAGTATCCCAACTTGTCGGCAGCTTGTGGCGTCTGTTGACGACATCTTGCTTACTAACTTGGCTGTCAAAATCCTCCCTCCCCCACCCCAAAATGCTAACTTCTACTAGCATCTGCAGAAACTGAAATTTGATACACAAATATCTTTAAGCCACCTAGTTTCTTTTTAAAGGACATAAAATAATGCAAATAAGCCAAAACTATTCCCAAAGCATAATTCTAACATGCTTTACTTTTGGCTAAAATCGATTTGCTTCCTAAATGCTACCTGTATTTGAAGATCAGTTAGTTGCCTATGGCCTTTAAGGTAAGATGGGGGTTTCTTTACTTAACACGTCATCACTATTCAAAAACTTGTCCTTACTAGGGAAAATAATGCTAATTATACTAAAATAAGATTTATGTTACTCCAAATTACAAAGTGATTGGTTCCTGTAATTAGGGATTTCTAACACATAATTCAAAATAAAATCACAAATAGACTAACATACGGATGGTGTTCAATTTTTCTTCATCCAATTCACCATATCCGCTCGCTAAAACGGAGAACCTTCTATGTGACTTGGCCAGTTTCCCATTCCTTTGATCAACTTAAAAAAGAAGCATTTCCTAGGAAGTCAGGAGTTAACAACATCAAGGTCCATCCAGGATATATATGTATATATATATATTTTTTTTTAACCAGATACTTTTAAAATGTTTGGCTTTTTAATCCCCACAAAGATCTGCATCATTTAAAACCAGATTCTTTAATCACATGGCTACTATTTTGTGCTAATCAACTCTTCAGTGCCGATTAAATAAGCTCCAATGGATCTTTGACAATGGAACAAGACAATGTCCAGCCATTGCCACAGGTGGTACAGGTGGTCACACCTGTGACATTCAAGCCACAGTCGTACAGTCTGGGAAAGGAAGGGTCTACGGTCCTGAATTCTCAGAATTTGTCGTCGTTGTACTTTCAGTGCTAATGGGCTGCACGTTGTCTGCAAGGTTGTGTGCGTGCTCAAGAAATAAATCTTTGAGTACACTCAACTCCTTAGTCAGCAATTTAATTTTCGCCTCCAACCGTTCATTCTCTTCTTTGAGCTGATTCACTCTTTGCAGTGTGTCTTGTGCCTTCTGCTTGCTTTTCAATCGGCTCTTCTTCACAGCCATGTTATTCCTCTCTCGGCGCTGCCGGTACTCGTCACTATTCCGATCCATGGGTGAACTCTTCTTGCTTTGCTTGCTGGGAGGCACAGCTTTGCCTCCTCCCCCAGGGCCAGCAGGCACCAGCTGAGGAACCTGCTGCACGCCGCTGGCATGCGCCTGCGTGTGGATAACACTTATTCCGTTCACTCCAGGAGTACTGTTTTGCGGCGATATCGTGCTCATTTGGGCACGCTCCCTGGCCAACACGGAACAAGCAGAAATGAAGGCAAGGTGATCAGTGGTTTTCACAATAAACTGCCGAAAAATCTTCTCACGTACCTAGTTAAAAAATAAACTAGTTAAAAAATAGACTTTCAACAACAGCATCAAATGAGATTAAATCTGCATGTTCCCAATACAGCTGGGTAACATTAATTGATCATGGTGAAAAAAGTTTACAGCAACTGTCCCAGGATTTCAATCTCACTCATTTACCTTAGAAACAGGCACCAGGAGGCTAAACCCCGCCTCCCTGAATAAAGGCTCCCATCTCAAGCCAACAGAGAATGCAGGAGGCAGGTGCCAGATCCACAGTGTCCCTGAGGGGCATGCTGCTACAGCCTCTGCTATTCCTCCTCCTAACAGGCCATCACCAAAGACCTTCCTTCTCCCACAACCACCTTTGTGTGTGTGTGTGTGTGTGTGTGTGTGTGTGTTTTAATTTTTCAGTGACTTCAAATAAGAGATTTCCAGAATTAACTGAGCTAATTTCTTGGATTCAGGAGCAAAAACTATGTTTCTAGTAGTGATAGCCTGTCCTTAATATAATTAAACCGCCCTACTCAGGGGCCAGCATGAGAGCTCAACAGGCTAATCCTCACCCTGCAAGTGCTGGCATCCCATATGGGAGCCAGTTCATGTCCTGGCTACTTCACTTTGCTTATGATCTGGGAAAACAGCAGAGTACAGCCCCAAGTCCTTGGGCCCCTGTGTAGGAGGACTCTGTGACCCTAGAAGGTCAGCAAGCACAGTATTATAACAACCAAATGGATACCTTTTGTACAACTGATTGGATATCATTTGTATGAGAACAGTTGAGTGGACAGCATGTGAATGAGAACACTTTGTAGAATATACAAAACAAAAGGAGTTCCAAACAAAAGTATAGAAACAGTGGATGGGTTTGTTGATGAGCGCAACACTTCCTCCCTTACCCCATATGACCCTCAGTGTATAGTCTGATGCCACTAATAAACTTCGGCTTTTGACCATCAGTCAGAGTCCACACGTGTTATTATCCGCTCCGTGCACCAAGTCCATCGCTGTGGACAGCGACACCCCTGCACCCATGTGGGAGACCCAGAAGCTCCCGGCTTCAGACTGGCTCAGCTCCAGCTATTGCTGCCATGTGGGGAGAGAGGCAGCAGATGAAGATCTTTCTGTCTCTCCTCTGTAAATCTGCCTTTTCTTTTCTTTCTTTTTTTTTAATTTTTTTTTTTATTACAAAGTCAGATATACAGAGAGGAGGAGAGACAGAGAGGAAGATCTTTCATCTGATGATTCACTTCCCAAGTGACCGCAACGGCCGATGCTATGCCGATCTAAAGCCGGGTACCAGGAACTTCTTTCCAGGTCTCCCATGTGGGTGCAGGGTCCCAAGGTTTTGGGCCGTCCTCGACTGCTTTCCCAGACCACAAGCAGGGAGCTGGATGGGAAGTGGAGCTGCTGGGATTAGAACCGGCGCCCATATGTGATCCTGGCGCACTCAAGGCAAGGACTTTAGCCGTTAGGCCACGCCACCAGGCCCAAATCTGCCTTTTCAACAAAAAATACAAAGAAACAAGTCCTAAAGATGCAACCAGGACAGCACACATACTAGAGCTCAGGCTGGACAGAAGGGCTGAGCAGCTCCAGGCCCGCACCCATGTCCACACTGCTGGATGCAGCACACACACGCCAATTCTGAGGCACTGTTAAGGTGTGACCCAGAGAAATGAGGCCAGCTTCAAACACGACACCTGTCTGCACTACTGCACTACAAGGAACCCAACAGAGTCTCTCCAGCTGCTGAGCTGGAGCACTCTTGGGAAGCCAGCAGTGTGAGGAACCACAAAAGTGCCACAACTGCATCAGTGGAAAGACTGTAGTGTCAGAATTATGAAACACTACAGATAAGCAGAGCCCAAGTGATTAAGGAGAAGGCAGTAAGCACCAGCGGCTCCCCCCAGACTTTTAACAGCCATTTCTCTAAAACACTGTGTTGTTTTCTCCCCACTCTTTGCTTTTCAAAGTCACTAATTATTTTAAAAGGCACACTGCCAGCCCTGAGCTCGTGGTTACCTGTTCTCACTCTAGTACCAAAGCAAGACAGAAAGTTCCCTGCTAAACCACAATGACTATCTACTCCAAGTCAACTGCAGTGATGAATACTGCATAATTTCCCGTTACAAAGGGTCTGCTCACCATCAGTATGAGCCCTCTCACTGCCTTTTGACACACTTTTTCCCCAGTTTTTAAGAACCTGCTCAACACCTTTCCAGTGACCATTTACCATTCACAACCAAGTTCATCTCATTTACCTACTTTTTAACTCTTATCTACCAATCCCACCTCTCATCTTTAAGGCCAAACTCTGCAGCACACCAGGCCCAGCTCAGGGACAGCAGTGAGAGGGAACCGGCTCAGCTCGTGTCTGGGCTCTGGCTTAGTTTCCATCTGCAAACGAGGGATGTGGAATGCCAAGAGGCCTCCTGACTATGTGTCATGAACCTGAGCCACTCAAAACTGACCCATTCAGGGCTCCAACTTTACGGGTGCTCGCTGCTGCTTCTGGACCCAAAGACCCACAAATGGGAATTCTGACTGGCACTAGCCAGGGTGCCAGGACAAGCACAGTAATGAAGGGTGGGAAGATCTAAGTGTTCACGGACCCTACAAACGGCAGAAATACGAGAAAAGGAAAATTACACATGCTTGAAAAGTTCTTCAGCTTCACAAGTCACATTTCGAAAAAGTCATTTTAACAGTGAACAAAAAACACAAAAATTCATTTGTGCTTCTGTTCCCATCACAAAAAGTGAGCATCTACAACAGGCAAAAAAAAAAAAAAAAAAAAAAAAAAACACCTTAAATGACAGTGTGGCTGCTGTACTGCCAAGCCCAATTCCAAAGTCCGGCGTGGAGGAAGCAGGCTTCCCTAATGAATCAGCGCCAGGTCTCTGGACCAGCACTCACCCCTGCGGCACCTCAGGGGGCCTGAGGACCACACTGACCTGGGAGCGGGTAGATTAGCAATGACCTAAATAAGTAACAGGGGTTTTAAAAGGTCCCAATCTCTTGAGTATTGTTTATTCAAATCAGTAATACATGGAAACCTAGGAATGCTAGAATAAGTAACATAAAACTTTCTCATGTCTCACTTGCGAAAACAAACCTGCCCAGAGTTTTCCTAACCCTTTGTCAGCACTCCTCCTGCCGCGTGGCTGGAATGTATTTCTCCCTGGCTTATTAAAATATAGTTTTCAGTGCTTTTCCTCAGTGGAAGCCGATACTTCAAAGTCTTCATAGATGTTTCTCCCTTTCCAGGTCAGTTTCACTACTAAACAGGACAATTCTACAGAACACACACAGCAACGATGACCTCATGTCCCCTCTTCCTCCTGCCCCAGCAATTACGTCAGAATGGCATCAAGTCTCAGGGCTGGAAGGCTCAGGCTTAGCAGTGTCCCCCACAGCAATGTCACCAGAGCCCTCTCAGCCACCTGTGGCCCCATCGACAGGACACAGGGTCCCAGCCTCCCTTCAGCCCTTGCCCCTTTTAGGTTTCACAGCTCTCATGGAACCTCCTGGCTGCCCAATGTGCTCCCCCAGCTCCACAGTGGGCACCCCTGCAGGCTAAGCTGAGCTCACCCTCACAGGCCCAGCAGCAGCTGCAGGGCCCGGGAGGGCAGGGGGCGGCCCCTTTCTCCAGAGGACACTAGCAGCTCCCTAGAGGAAGAGGAGAGGAAAGCAGGTTTGTTTAGTCTTTTCAGAGGTTCTTTTTTTCATCTGTTTTTGGTGTCATTCACAACATACATAGCAGTTTATAAATACATACCTACTGGGAGCTTGTGTTCAATTTATTTACTTATTTATTTTACTGATAGGGGCTGGGGAGCCAAAAAGGCAAGACCCCACTGTGTTAAGAACCACCACCTTTCCAGAGCACTCACACACAGCAAGCCTGGAGCTGTGGCTACCTCTTCTTACCACTACTGTGACCACAGGAGACCTAGCTGTCCTTCCCCAAGGCTTACCCCGTGCCAGCTAAGTCCCCAGAAACCACCTCCACCAAGACGGCGGGGCTCCCAGCCTCAACGCGTTCCTGACATTCTGAAACTCAACTGTGCTCTCCCTGCGTTTTAAGCAGCAGCATTCGAGAAACCAAAACATTCACGTGTAATCTAGAATTGCCTCGGCTTTGTTGGCCAGCTTTTCCAGAAACCATCAGACACATGGCCTACCCCAAAAAACACTGACCGGATCCTCCCCACCCATCAAGAAGCTGGAGAGAACAGAAAGTCTGAGTAAAAGGGGGGTGGGGGAGGGAGACAAGTCCTCACAAGATCTGATTTCAAAATTGCCTTTGGGAGAGTCAAGTCTCCAGGAGACACATTCCACGGAGAAGATACATCGGTGCCTGTGCGAACTACCGGGCGTCACGCCCTTTCCAAAGGGGCAGCCCAAAGATGCCTGAGGACAGCTCAACGCTGCAACCTCTCGGCCTCGCACCCAGCCTCCCACCCTCCCCAGCCCACACACGCCTCGGCCGGCTCCTGTCCCTGGGGCTCGCCCCTCTCCCTCCATCCGCTCTATTTCTATTCCATTCGCGGCTGCGCCAGGTCCACCCAACGTCTTGTCCAACCTAGAGCTGCAGGACACTCCGGCATCTCCATAAACCAACGACACATCCTTTCCATCCAACTGTCCTCCTCTCCTCTTTCGCCTGTCCGCTCCTTCTGCCCCGGTAACTTGTGAACTCTCCACCGCCCCATAGCCGGAGCAGGAAACACCCCCTGTGGCACTGGGGAGAGCCCCGGTCCAGGCCCCCGGCTGCTCCGGGAACACCCCGCATCCCCAAAGGCCAATGCGCGCCGGGCTTGTTGCTACCCCCGCGCGGCTCAGAAACCCGGGCCCAAGTTTGGGAGCGGGGCCGCACGCACGCACACACACCCCTCGCCCTCGCCCGCCCCATCTCTCCCGGGCCGCGCGGGGAGCGCAGGGGGTCGGCGGGGCGGCGCCGCGGCGCTGGGCCGCCGCCAGGGGATGAGCTCAGCGGCCCCGCCGGGTGTTGCCGGCAGGTTGCATCAGACGCCGCGCGGGGCCTTCCCGACCAGCCCAGCCCCGCCGGCCGCCTCGGGTGTCCTCAGGCCGGGTTCGCGCACACGCGAGCGGCCGGCGCCACCGCGGCCTCCTCCTCCTCCTCTCGGAGCGCCCAGCCCGGCCCAGCCCGCGCGGCCTCCTTACCTGCGCCTCCAGCCCGCCCGCCCCCAGGCGGCCTCCTCTCCCCCGCGGCCCCGCAACGGCGCGGCCCGACCCGACCCAGGCCTCGCAGCCCGCGAGTCAACGAGGAGGAGCGACGGTTACGAAACCGGGAGCCTCCGCCCGTTCCGCCGCCGCGGCCACCGGCTTCCCCTCCTCGCCGGCACCGCGCGCGTGGCCGCCGCCGCCGCCACCACCAATGGGAGCGCCGGCCCGGCCCTGACGCAACCGCCTCTGGAGACGGACAGCGGCGCTAGCCAACCGCGAGCCGGAGAGCCTCGGGAGGCGGGCCCGCGGCGGAGGCGTTGGCCACGGCATGGCGGGGCCGGCGGGTGTGGCGGGTGTGGCGGGTCCTTGTCGTGGTGGGTCGTGCCACCTGCGGTCCCCGGGCGGCCCGCGGGGGTCGGTGCCGATG